AAGTAAATATAAAAGTTTATAAAAAGATATGGTTTAAATTTAGAAATTAATAAAATAACGTAGGTATGGTTAAGGGATGGAAAATATAATTTAAATAAAATGAAATATCAATTATATGTATTGACGTAGCTAATATGAGCGCAACAAAATAGTTAAGACATCTTTTTACTTTTCTAGAGATCCAAAGTTGAATCTTTATCTTCACATTTGTATAAAAGAAATTGTGCATAAAAAAAAATTATTGGGCAAGGAAGTAGTTGAGTTTAGATAACATTATTAATTCATCATACTATTTTTAAGTTTACTTTTTAATATTTGCATCACTAAATTCGGTATAATATTAATACATATTTAAATATCATTGTTAAAAAAACAATTATTAGTTGGGTGTCTATTCAGGGAAATCCTTGCTTCAAAAAATTATTATTATTATTAAGAGAAAAGGTCTCCGATGAAATAAATAAATAAATTATATATACATATATATAGAAGACATTATCAAAACTCATAAGGATGAAGTTGGAAATTATCAAACATCGTGAAAGGACTTAATCAAGCCATTTTCTAAAATTTCTACTTTTTTATATTTCTTTTTTTCCTTGTTAATTAGTTGATCATTGACGTTAAATTGAACAAAATTTAGATGAAATATTACAAAAATAATGTTAGAAACCATAAGTATAGTACTTAAGAGCGGAGCCATAAATTTTTTAAAAAATAGTAAAATTTTATATTCTAATTTTTCAATTTTACACATTTTGAAATAAATTAGAGAAAAGCAGCAAACTATATTTATATATTAAAAAAAAGTAAGGTGCGGAAAACAGGAAATGGGGACAGAGGATGTAATCCTTGTCCCAGTCGACATTTAGATTATGGGAAAAAAACTTCTCCCATTGCCACCTGCGACTCGCGAGATATATTAACGAGGATTTTCGACTCCGATTATTAAGACATATCCTGCAGAAAAATAGACTTCCTTATCTACGTCTAATATAACATAATTTAAAATATTAATCATCGTTGAGTTGTTATGCAATATAAACGCTCCTTTTCAATTATATTTTTACCAAATAATATACATATTAAAAATATATATATTCATAAATATTTTTAAAAATCCCCGTTTAAATTTCAAATTCTCGGCTGCGGTGCATCATACTCGTCGTATCATAGACTGGTAGAAAGGTTGGGCCTGGTACCATGGACCTAAATTCTATTCGGCCCTCTACAAAGTCTTTAAAATGGGCCTTTTAACTGTGTTTTAGGCCTTTTCCAAGTCGGCCCAAAAATAAACGAAATGGGCCATGGAACCGTTCAATGATTATTGGATGGTAAGGTGAAAATATATTTTGTATTTTAAGTTGGGAATCCTGAGCCGTGGCCAAATTCATGGTAAAAAATGTCATAAATTTATAATTCTCGCCAACACTTATTTTACATAAATTATGATGGAAGGAGTCTATTTCCATTTTTTATTTTTTATTTTTTGGAATATAACAGTTTAAACGAGATGGTAGATTCAAACTTACGTCATTTAGGGAATCAAACCAAACTGCTCATGCTCTAGCTAAGGAAAGTATCAGGATGGGCCGCTCGTTTTTGTGGCTTTCCAATTTTCCTTTTTTTCTCAATCAGTGTGTGGAAGCTGATTTGCAAAATCATGTAGCCTTAATGGCAGTATGAGTTTCTTAAATATATCTGCTATTCTTAAAAAAAAAAAAAAAACTTTCGTCATTTAAGGGAAACGACTAATGTTGATGCAAGGATTTGATTATAGTCTCTAGTGTCAATACTTTCGGCGAACACCTGCGCACAAAGAAAGCTACACACTGGAACTTAAGTTAGCAAAGAATTTTGTTGGATATAGTAAAAATAGATTTGTCAGTGTATATCATATTGCTCATGTCTCTCCTCTTATTTATAGAAAGAGTCTCCTTAGATTGGTTCGGTGAGTCAGTTCGATTGGATTTAAGTTGACTCGAATCTGGTTTGGTCTTGTTGGGTGGTCTGACTCATATGATTTGATCTAGACAGCTTGACCTATGTTGCTTTCCTAAGTTCAGTTCGTAGGAATAGAATAATTTCATCAATAACAACTAATATATGACTAATACATAAATTAGTTGAGTTATACTTATATCTATTAGTAAGCTCTTTTATTACCTTTTTATTTTATTCCAATTCATACAACATAGAAAAAATACTAATATATACTGAAGTTTAGTAGAAAATTATAAGATTATTATTTTCTCTAATTTTTCTTTTAAAAAAGAATGTGTTATGTGGAATAAGGATAAAAGGCAAGTAAATCTATTACTATACTAATTTCTCTTGGGGGACTTTGTTTTTTAGTACCATAAAAAGGATGGATTCAAACCTTTAAACTTATATAAGATTTATGTTGTTGGAGGTGATTTTTCAGACCCTATGCATCAATGTTTAGTAGGTCAGAAAGAGCGTCAAGCTATTGTTATGACTTCATATAGAGATCAAATCTCAACAAAGGAAAGTCATCGGCTCGATACTTCATAAAGGTCAAGTTGACCCATACAAAGTTAATTGTTCGGAACTTCATAAAGTTCGTATCGACGAACTTAAATCAAGAAAGGCTAACCCTCGTAAGTAACGAGACGATAATCAAAATATTGGCTGTCGCAAGCCAACAACTGTTTCCCCGACGAGATGTTGTGATTTACAGCTCATCAACCACTGTCGGAAGTTCAACTTCTATAAATATAGAGTTATGCCTTATATTCAGGGATGTGAAACTATTTTCTCTTCTGCAATAGATCGGATTTGTATTGACTTAAATGTCGAAGTTGTTTACTCTCTTTGGGTAGGTCTCCTAGTTTGTCAATTCGAGGTCCGAGCTTTACAGAAGTTGATCAAACACAATGAGTCAAACTACAGTGAGGTGGTCTTTGTTAATATTTCTACGTAAATAGGAAAAAAACTAATCTCAAAGAAGATATTTTGAAACTTTTTTTTTCAACTTTAAATAAATATAAAGTTTATTTTCAATATTTTCACAAATTATACCTTTCATTTTACTCTTGATTAATGTGATTTACATCTTGATAAGATTTTGCTTTGGTTCTATCGCCTAATGCATGCCAAGTATTATAATTATATATTGTCATTTTTCAAGATTTTTTTTATTTATTAAAAAGTAAAAAAAAATAACAATAAAGCCAAGGATGTCCACACTGTATTTTGGAAAGATTATAATAGGCCATTAAACTTTAAATTTTATGTTAATAAGTTTGCCTTGTTAACCCTATAAATTTAGTATTTATGTCATCAAATACTTTAAAATTGTCAAATTAGTTCACTGTAATCTTTAAATAAAATAGTAAATATGCAATCAAGACATTAAATATGTTAGAGAATGATGTCAACCTACTAAAAGTTCAAAAATCTATTAGAAACTAAATAGATATGCTAAAAAAAAGACACTAAGAAACTTCATTTTTAAAAAGACCGACTATAAATTGAAACAATCTTTGAAAAGTTAGAAACCAAACTTATTTAACCTAAATTTTGGATAGTTTTTTTAGTACAAGATGCGTGGATGGGAGATCCAACTCACAACCTTTGGTTGGAGATATATACCAATTATCGATAGTATTAATTTTGATATAAAATTTACCACAAACTCAGTTTACTTTTTCGTGCTATTTTGATTCACATCATTGAAGTTCATTAATTTCTTTTTTTAGTTCCACAATAAGTAGAGTGGTGATTCAAATCTTCCATATTTTTAGTGGATGGTATATCTTTTAATGAGTTGGATTATTCTCAAGTTATTTATTATCAAGTTAAAATTAGTTAAATAAAATATTTCATTTGTATATATATTTTTACTTGTATTCATTAGATTATTATACGCTCATAACTTCCATTTTGTCCCATCCAATTTTGTTAAACTTGCTAATGATCCATATTATTTTGGTAGAAAATTGTCTTTATTTTACTTCTTTCTAGTTATGCTATATAAAATTCCCTCACCAAATTGACATGGACTTAAAAATAAAAATAAAAAATTTAAATTAATAAGAAAATTCCTCACGAAAATTCAAATTTAAAATTTAAAAATAATACATTTTTTTAAGGTGATTGGATTGTGATAGGCACACGTGACTTCTTCTTTTAAAGTCTAAGTTTTCTTGCCTCAGCCATGATTCTTCATGCCGAAACGATCTCACAAGACATTTTTGTTCTTTCACTTCGATTTAGTACATTGTCCGACAGACTCCACGACATCACGCCACATTTCACGGCTACCTTAAAGAGTCGTTGAGGCCCTTGTTGGRAACATGATCAGAGACTCCCTCTATAAATAGAACTAATTTCTTCCGTTCTAAGGTACGTGAACACTAAATTCTCCCTCGAGTTTAGTTTGACAATTCACTGACTTTGGCATCATAGTGTTTGTTCTATTTTGCAGGTCCTCTGTTCGGTTTTCTTAGCTCACAGTCTAGTTCGTCCTTGCCCATCCAACGTTCGTAGGATTGAAAGATTTCTTGATTCAACAGTTTTGAAATTCGACCATAACATTTCAACATTTGAAGAATGATTTAATGTTGAATTTCAAAAACATTATTTTTAGAATAAGTTTCTACGTTATACATTTTTTAAGTACAATTAGTGAGTAGAGAGATKGAAACTCATCATATTAGTTGCAAATGTAAAATTTCAACTATGAACTAAATTCATGTTCCTCACATTATACATTTAAGACATTTAAAACAAGCATTATTTTGTAAATAAATTTGAAAATAAGCCTCGTTAAAAAAAAATTCCCCGATAAATATAGGACACCTCATTCCAAAAAATGATAAATAAATAAAAATAAAAATAAAAATAGTACGCGAAACGATAAACTTGAAGCCCATTGGGAGCCAAGCTTTTTCTCATTTCCCAAAATGTCCATGTACTTTTACGAATTTACAATTCTTGCCGGTCCTTATAAGTTCCGTGACAGTCTGCAACAGAAGCAAAAATCCTGCGCCGTCGTCACTCCCGAATTTCAAAAATGGTCGTCGGAAAAGAGAAATCGCCGATGGGGAAGGAAACCGCCGAGAGCGAGAGCCAGAACAGAGCGAGACTGGCCATTCTAGAGCTCGCTAACATGATCAGCGTTCCAATGTCTCTCAACGCTATCGTGCGCCTCAATATCGCCGACGCCATCTGGCAAGAAGGCTCCAACGATCCGCTCTCCGCCTCCGAGATTCTCTCACGCGTGCTTCCGTCCGGCGGCGACGCCGACAATCTCAATCGCATCCTCCGTATGCTCACTAGCTACGGAGTTTTCGAGGAGCATCTCAGCCATAACTCATCGGAGCGCCGGTATTCCCTCACCGACGTCGGAAAAACGCTGGTCACCGATTCCGATGGCCTCTCCTACGCGCCGTACGTGCTTCAGCATCATCAGGTGCGTGATTATGTTGATTTCAGATTTCAGATATAGATTGATTTCGATCCCTCTGTCCTTTGGCTTTCTGAGCGAAATGTGATTCTGATTCTGATTTTTTGGCGGTGAACAGGACGCGCTGATGAGAGCGTGGCCTAGGGTGCACGAGGCAGCGAGTGACGCGACGACGGAACCGTTCGTGAGAGCGAACGGTGAACCGGCGTACAGTTACTACGGGAAGAGGCCGGAGATGAACGAGTTGATGCAGAGAGCGATGTCCGGCGTATCGGTGCCGTTCATGAAGGCTATATTGGACGGCTACGATGGCTTCGGAGGGGTGGAGAAATTGGTGGATGTGGGCGGGAGCGCCGGCGATTGCCTGCGGATGATTTTACAGAAACATCCCCACATTAAGGAAGGGATCAACTTCGATCTGCCGGAGGTGGTGGCTAGGGCACCCAGCATCCCCGGTGAGCATTTTTGGTTACCGTCGTGTAATTAAATTAACCTTTTTAATTATCATTATAATGCCTTTTCTGTTTAATTAACAAACAAAAAGGAAAAATGTGACTCTGGAAGCTAAGAAATTTTGAAAAATCAGGTTCGGATTTGAATTTTTAAAGATTATGCTTATTTTTTAATATGTTTGTTTTTCACTTTCTTATAGAAAACATATACTAATTCTTAATCAAATTTCTAAAATAAAATAATTTTTTTAGAACATTAAATATAATAAATTCTTAAAAACAAATGTTGTTTAGTTTTTAAAAGTTGGCTTAAATTATAAAAATAAGTAAAGAAAAAAAATTACAAAGAAATACAAGCTTAATTTTGCTTAAACTATATATATCATTCATGCGTATATAATATATGTATGCACAAGGCAGAGTGCAATTGGTGGTCCCTTTCAGCTTATCATAATTTTAAAAAGAATATATAAAATATTTATAATTTATAATTTTGTAATTTTCCTATCTTCTAAAGTTTTAGGATGGAAAG